TTCACTGTGTTAGCCAGGATGGTCTCGATCTCCTGACGTCGTGATCCGCCCACCTTGGCCTCCCAAAGGGCTGGGATTACAGGCGTGAGCCACCGCGCCCAGCCGGTTTGTTTTTTTTATACATATGTTGCCTATGTCCCTTTTTCCTTAACAAATTTGTAAAATTTGTCAGCTGAAAGGGGCCTCGGGGATCATGAAGTTATAATCCAATTCCTCTATTTCCAGACTGAAAAATGGCCTCACGATTGACCCAAAGTCACACTTTGTTCGAGGCACAGCTAAGATTCCACTAGGGCCTGTGACAGCTCGTCAGAGAGCAAGACAAAGTAGACTAACACTGAAGCACCAACAGTTTCTACCAAGTGATGACATGATACAAGAAATGCCCAGAAATCCAAGTTGTTTACATGTCTGGAAGGGAAAGAATTTAGCTTGTGTAGTAAAAATATCCAGAGAATCCTCCAGATGTTTTTTTATGCCTGGAGCAAGCATTTATGAGATGGAAGGCCCTGTTTACTTGGTGATTGATAGCAGAACAATTAAAGGGTACTTGCCGTCTGTGAGATCCTTAATTGAGTTGTTGATCTGACCTTTCGTTTCTTCCAATTTATCTTTGAAGTCAACAGTTTCCAATTCCTTTGCATAGGGTCTCTTCGTAGAGCTGATGAACTCCTGAAAAACATGCAGTTCATAAAATCAGAGTCTGTAGTCAAGCTATTGCATTGTTATTCTCTTCTAACAAAAGGATTATTAAATATCAACGGCTATATGTACGCTTTCAAAATTGGTAACACTATATGAATTGAAACCTCATGTAGAAGTCAGTGAAATTCTTTGTATTGAATGTTTCTTTTTTTTCAATTATAAGACAATTTCAATTATTAAAAGCATCTGTCAGTTTAATATTAGCTTTGAAGAAAACAAAAGAAACACTATGTTAAATATACCCAATTCTCTTACGGGTTCTAATTTCAGAAACATGAAAATGTTGTATGTCTACAGATACATATATATTAGAATATAGGAAATGTATAGAAAAGAGAATTATGAACAGAAAACTCTTGTCCTTGCTGAACTAAATAAATATCCTGTAGACTGTTGCTACTCAAACTGTGGTCCAAGGTGGTGTACAACATCACCTGAGACCTTGTTAGAAGTGAAGAATCTCAGACCCCACCCCAGACATACTGAATCAGAATGCATTTTAACAAAACTTCCAGGTATGCCATCTGCAAATTAAGGTTGGAAACACAGTGCTGTAGAGAACATAGCAGGAGCTATTACTCTAATGCTTATTTAAAATGTGCAACCCTAAACCCCATTCCCACCGTGACAATCAGAAGTACCTGGGTGTTAAAAGGGCCTCAAGAACTTGCCCTTTTAACACCCGGATAGTTCTGAAGCGAGAGATCCTCCACAGACCACACTTGTTTGGACCTTTAGTAAATTTGCAGATGCTGTGCACCTAGCAGGAGCAATGGAAAGCAGTCTTAAAAAATCTTTTGTAATGAGCCAAGATCATGCCACTGCACCCCAGGCTGGGCAACAGAGCAAGACTCCATCTCAAAGGAAAAAAAAAAAAAAAACTTTACAACTCCTAGTCTGGTTAAGATCATTCCAGATGTTACATGGAAGTTCAACCAAACTAAATATAACTTGATTCAATGTTATGTCAGTTCACTTCCAAGCACAGGGCTTCTTGAATTTCTTCAGAGCAGCTTCAGCCTTAGCCAATTAACTTAGCTTCAGTTAATTGCAAATCAACCTTGGGACTGACTGTCACCATTGACTGAGAGAACCAATCTCACCTGAAAACATTAGAAAGCCTCAGCCAGATGAAGGAGGGCCTCTATTGTCCTCACTGCCAGCAATAAAAATGTGTTGTCTCCTTAATGATCATTTAGGGAGCTTCTAGAAAATGTGTATGCTCAGGTTTCAACTCACATCTCAGTGTTTTTTTTTAATGCTTCTGATTATTGTTGGAATAAAATGGTTGTGTATATATATCTTTAAGCAACAAAAAATATACTCACAATATCTAGTAACCCATGTCCTCAAAAGATCTTAACCACAAAAATACCTACTGCAGAAAGTTGCAAAATCATGGTAAAATATTTAAAAGCTGGTAGTCTAGCTTTTAGATTTGGAAAGCTTGAAATTCTGACCATCCGAACAGGAACTAAATCAACTCTATGTTACTGAAGTACAGAGGGAACCTCCATGTAGTCTGGAATACTGTCTGTGTGTTTCAAATACAGATTTTTAAAATATTACAACATTGGGTACCATAGTGTTCTTTGTACGATTCCTTAGAGCAATGGCTAAATTTAAATAACCAGAACTGCCTGTGGAGATCCCCATCTGACCAGCCCAGCACAACAAAACTAATTTGTGACTGATGAAAATTGTGAATTCATAGTTATTATTTTTCTTACTGATTTTGAGAAACATCAGAACTTTGTGCGCATAACAAATGGGGTGGAGAGCTTAAAACATTGTTCCAGGCCATATGCCCTGCTCTTTAAGGAGAAAGAAGTTTAAATCATGAGCTGTCTTACACTCGTTGTTTATGGAACTACATTTATTAGAGAGTTAATTACTCTGTTCTCCATTCTCTCAAAGGAAGCTAAAAGGAGGGTAAGATTTATTTGAGAGGGAAAAGGAAAGCCCATAAGCTTCTCTATATTTTGAGTTAGAAGATGTGACTGCAATTGACTCCCACTGTACTCCTAACCTCTCCACTAGGATTTATTTATTTTAAGCCTCAAATCACAAGTGAACCTCCTAGAAATGAATTTCACTGAAAAAAAGTTGTAGGTCTAACAGCATGAAAATACCACTCCTTGTAAAAAGTTAAGTCTTGCTACTTGCTTTAAACAACTTACTGTAGAAAGATTCAGAGATTTGTCTATGTAGAGCCGCTTGATTAGTTTCAGTGAGTAAAAGGAACTAAGTTTGTTGACATCCGATGTTACTGTTTGAAATCCAAAGGGCACGTCTTTGACATTTTCAAAATGAAGAACCTGTTAAGAGAAAAATCCATTACCTGAAAAGCATTACCTCTGAATGGTGCTTCACTGAAGTGGACACGTGATAATGACCAACGTCCTTGGGCATACAGAATCCTCCTGCCCAGTTCCCATAAAGCAAGACTCCTCAGCCTCAGTGTTATTGACATTCAGGCTGAATGAGTCTTTGTGGGACTATCCTGGGGACTGCAGGAAGTTTAGCAGCATCTCTGACCTACTAGATGCCAGAGGCATCCTTCCCTTATTTGTGACAACCCAAAATGTCTCCAGACATTGCCAGATGTCCCCAGAGTGGGAAGGGAAGGACAAGTTGTCCCCACTGAGAAACAGTACCATAAAGGTACTCTTCCAAATCAACTATCGAGAACATTTGTCCTTTCTTCAAAGTGACGCCCTTCATACTCACACAGAAAGATTTCCAAACTTGGAGAATGGTGAAGCTGGATTATAATTTCTGTCCAATTTAGAGACCAGAAGAGAGAGATTAATACCAAGAGAGACCATCATCAGGCAGGAATCAGATTTCAGGACAAGTGCCTCTAGCCAGAGTCTGTCTAGTGCCTCTGGGTGGTTTAGCAAATGCCAGGTAAAAGGTGTGTCATTTCTTATGGGCAGCTACAATAAATGGTGGGCTGCCCTGGGTGGGCTAGAGTCAGACGGCCCTGCCTGCGAATCCCAGCCTTCAACTCTTCAGAGAATCTTCTCCAACTCTTCAGGGCCTCCTTTCCTCTCTGTAAAATGGGCTGAGAATACCTGCTTTCCTCACTTCTTATGAGGATTACTTACATGTAAAACACCTAAAGTATTATACGGATTCAAGCTGTTAATTATTATTCTTGTAATAATATTGTAAGCTATGTAAAACCAGGATACTGTCATTTGGAGGGCTTAAATCATTGTATTTTGTTCCTAACTTTTTTTTTGTTCCAATCAATAGTCCAGCATCTTCTCGGCCTTGCAGCACCACAACATGTAATGTCAGCATAAGATGATACCCTCCTCACTCCATAACCCATAATGGTCATGGCCTGATTCCACAACCCAGATAAGCAACGCCGCCAAACCGGCACATTGCGCCAGTGAATTACATAGCCTCAGCATTGCAGGGTCAAATGGGCTGGTCCCAGACAGTGCGTAACTCTCCTGCCCAAAGACGGATGGAGGAGGCCAGGAAATTAAAGAGCCCAGGTAACTACTGCTGGGGAACCAGTTGCATGTACTGAGAAGATCTTGAGGAATTATTGAGGGACAGACCCACTACTAGGAAGTTCTCTTTCTCTGGCCTTTCTCTAATGGTAGATGAGAAATGAGGAATGGGAGATTGGGTAGGGATAGTGGAGTTGTGCAGTTCAGAGATGAGGCTCAATAAGAAGATATATCTCCTCTTCATAGTAGTGAAGCTGCTTCCAGTCCCAAGTGTAAATTCTTCATCCTGACCTAAATAACTCTTATGGGCCATACTTTCTGGGCACATATGAATACAATAAGGTGTTCCCTTTTTAAATGCTTATGAGCTAATAGGAAAGAAATTCTGTTGAACCTAGAATGATTAGCATAAGAGTAATAATGAAATATAATTAGGAGAACATTCACTTATTATCTAAAAGTACATGAGGACTTAAAATGGAACAATCAGGAAAATCATCTCATTTGAAGGTCTAAGAACTTTACAAAGCTAGATAATCAACCATAGCCAGAAAGAAACCCTATAATGATACAGATGCTCCTTGATTTATGATGAGGTTATCTCAACCCATTGTAAATTAAAAATATCATAAGTCAAAATGAAAAAAACTGTGATTACCCAGCAGATCTCCAGGTTCTCCATCACAGCCTGATGCCTGTCCCAAATGTGAGTTGCATTACCTACAAGTGAGCTTTCACATTTAAAAACAGATTAAGAAGCCTGTAATCCCAGTACTTTGGGAGGCCGAGGCAGGCGGATCACCTGAGGTCAGGAGTTCGAGACCAGCCTGGCCACATGGTGAAACCCCATCTCTACTAAAAATACAAAAATTAGCTGGGCATTGTGGCAGGCGCCTGTTGTCCCAGCTACTCGAAGGCTGAGGCACAATCATCACTTGAACCTGAGACGCTCCAGGGCCTGAGCCGAAGGGATCGCCACCACTGCCACTCCAGCCTAGGTGGACAGAGATGGGGCTCCTGTTCTCAAAAAAAAAAAAAAAAAAAAAGCACTTAAAAAAAAGGGAGGTCCTGGAATGGCAGCAACTCTGAATCTTGACCAATTCTGCAACACAAAGTCCCATTCTTTTTGTTCCCGATGACCGCTGCCTATGGTCTGCGTACAGTAACTGATATTCGCCACTTTAAAGAGTAGGAAAGGGTTGGGGCGGTTTACCTGCTCCAAGTTTCATTTGCAGTGATCACCTCTTCGCACCACTTGAGCAAGTGACAGAGAGGTGGAGAGACAGATTGGAGAGAAGAGGACATTGCCTAGTGGCTCCTTTTCACATAGTTGTTTGAACAGATCAACAGCAAAAGCCGAATTTGCTAGTTGCAGGGCATCCATTGTGGGCCTGGAAGCAAGGACAAGGGAGAGGTTAATTTCTAAAGCATCTTTAACGTCTTCTCACCTGCATTCTGCCAACCTAAAAGAATTCTATGTAAACAAAGTAATGATCTCAGAAGACACAATGAACTTTCTGTAAATTCAAAAGTAAGATCAGTTGTGAGGAAACTTCCAGGCAAATGTCCGAAGGCATATGAGGTCCTCTGTGGCAGCTCTGCCTAGACTCTGCAGTCTCGGGCCTGCTTAGCCACTGTGGCCGTTGTCGGGAGCCCAGTGGTCACACTTCTTCTCCAGCATATGTCAGAAAAGTTGACAGCACTAATCAACATCAGTTGGTTTTATTTATCACCTATTGTTTCCATTAGGATTTCAGTTAAACTAAAAGTTAAAATTTTTATAAAACAAAAACAGTCGAATTGCAGCAGTTTTGCATGGTTCAGTTTCATATTTAGTAAGTGTTATGGGTTGACTTGTGTCCCCAAGAAAGGTATGTTAAGTCCTAATCCCCATTACCTGTGAATGTGACCTTATGTGGAAACAGGGTATTTCCTATATCTTAACTAATACATCATTAATTAAGATGAAGTCACACTGGAGTTAGGTGAGCCCTCATCCAATATGACTGGTGTCCTTAAAGGAATAAGAGAAGAGACACAGAAACAATACACAGAGGGCAGATGTGAAGACACAAATGTCTTCACCTGTGTGAAGGACATGCCGTATGGCAAAGGAGGCAGAGATTGGAGGGATGCTTCCACAAGCCAAAGAATGCTAAGAAGTGCTGGCAACACCAGAAACCAAAAGAAAGTCATGGAACATTCTCCCCTGGAGCCTTCAGAGACAGCATGACCCTGCCGACATCGTCATTTCAAACTACTGGCCTCCTAGCCTGGGGGTGAATAAAACTTATGTTGCTTTAAGCTGCCTGGTTTGTGGTGCTTTGTGATAGAAGTGCTAGATAACCCTTAGAGTAAGTAATGCCTTTGCAGGACACCCAGCACATAACAATACTTATTAAACAGCAGCTGTTATTGTTTGTGTTCATAATATGCATCTGTGTGTAAGACACTACCCAGAGTGTTGCAAGGATTAGTGGACCTCCTCCTCCTCTAAGCTCACAGTCTCTTTGGGCAGCTATGTAGACCAATAACTAGAATACAGAGCTGCCCAAGACATGTGAGTGGTATAATCAGTAATATGGGAGTTAAAGAAAAGAGAGAACAACTTCAAAATATGTAGCCTGGTAAAGTGGATATAGCAGCAACTAGGCATCTTGTCACATCTCAGAGCTCTTTAATTCTAACACAGCAATTTCCAAAGTGTTGTGTCTTGACTCCTGGCAGTCCCTAACACCCTTTCAGCAGGTCCATGACGTTAAAACTATTCTCATAATAATACTAAGACATTCTCATTCTCTATCTCTAATAGACAGTGGAGTTTTCCAGGGGCTATATGACAATCCTTCTATTAAGCCAAATATTAAGGAGATTTGCAAAAATGAAAAACAAGATCACTCTTCTCATATATCACTCTTCTCATATTTTTTCACTGGACATGGATGCAGCTGGAAACCATCATTCTCAGCAAACTATCACAAGAACAGAAAACCAAATACTGCATGTTCTTACTCATAGGTGAGAATTGAACAATGAGATCACTTGGACACAGGAAGGGGATCATCACACACCGGGTCCTATTGTGGGGAGCGGGTGGGGAGGGATAGCATTAGGAGATATACCTAATGTAAATGACGAGTTAATGGGTCCAGCACACCAACATGGCACATGTATACATATGTAACAAACCTGCACGTTGTGCACATGTACCCTAGAACTTAAAGTATTAAAAAAAAATTGTTGGGTGCAATATACACTACTTGGGTGATGGATACATTAAAATCCTATACTTCACCACTGTACAATCCGTCAGTGTAACCAAAAACCACTTGTACCCCTAAAGCAATTGAAATTTTAAAAATTTAAATAAAAACAAATAATATATATATTAAAATATATATATGATTCATATTAGCATTTAATGGTTATATTATTTTAATAAATTAGTAAATGAACATTCAAAATGTGTCTGGTTTTTTATTTCTAGTTGGTAAATAATAATAGATATAATCGGCCGGGCGCAGTGGCTCAAGCCTGTAATCCCAGCACTTTGGGAGGCCGAGACGGGCGGATCACGAGGTCAGGAGATCGAGACCATCCTGGCTAACACGGTGAAACCCCCTCTCTACTAAAAAATACGAAAAGCTAGCCAGGCGAGGTGGCGGGCGCCTGTAGTCCCAGCTACTTGGAAGGCTGAGCCAGGAGAATGGCGTAAACCCGGGAGGCGGACCTTGCACTGAGCTGAGATGCGGCCACTGCACTCCAGCCTGGGCGACAGAGTGAGACAACGTCTCAAAAAAAAAAAATAATAATAATAATAATAGATATAATCTGCAAATTTTTAAAGAAACAGTTATTTGGGGTCCTCGATAATTTTTAAGAGTGTAACGGGGTCCTCAGATTTAAAAAGCTTCACTGTTTTAATAAAGGTCTACCTACCTATTTAGTAGTTACTGATAGACCCCAAAGAGAATTAGGTAAATTCAGGCAGTCAGGGCTTCCCTTTCTGGGAGCAGAGCTGAACTACAGGGACTCCTGAGGCTCTGCCTAAGCTGTGCACTCAGGCCAGTGTTCCCATTGCAAATATACCATGAGACCCCCTGAAGTCAGGTGGGCCTCTCACTTTTCTTTAAAGCCCACAACCTTACTCCTTCCCCCCTCAGGGCAGGGGCGAGGGCTGACAGGTGACATCACACCTCAGGGAAAGGTGACTGGCATTAGGTGTATACTGAGTCAGCAGAGTATACTGAGGCAAAAATGAAAGCCTGTGGAGTGTTTCACCCAGTGTGCCCACCACTGGGAAAATGTAAAGAAACTTCACAAAAGGTTTGGGAAATCTGTGGACAGACTTTCTGAATAGGAAACCTGGCTTCCTTCCGCAGCAGATTTAATATTAATAACGCCAAGTTCATCTACAAGTAAAACTCAACATGTACAAGTAATGAGTTATTTCTTCAGCAAATAGAGAAGCCTAAACCCATATCCCTGCAAGCTTCTTAACACTTCCACAAGTTGAGAGCTAACCACACTGATGATAATATGAAAACACACAAAGTGCTTTAACAAACACAAGTAGTTCCTCCCAGCATGTATTTATTATCCTCCAAGAGAAGCTAGAATAATTTTGCATAGTCAATAACAAACTATATTCTAGTGATTTCCTTTGTATAGAAAAATGGTGTTTAAGATCTTAGATTAATCTGCTGAGGGAGTTTGGCTGCAAACACCTACAAACGGATCTTAGAAGTGGATCAAAGGGTGAGGAGATGTTCATTTTACCACTTTATTCAACTAAAGCATTATTCATTCATTCGTCATAACATTCTGAGATATACTTAGTCTAAATAATTGTGGATACAAGATCATTGTGGTTTTTAGCGTAGCTAATTACACAATACAATTAATGCTCTGTTGCAATCCAGGTCCCTGTTGGAGATGTGAATCAATGCACACCTGACATCCTAACATCTCCGGGGTTGTCTCTCATCACCGGCAGACCTTCCCCTTGAGTGAGTCCCTTCCTTTGCATGCTAATCTTCAGTGCGTTGAAGATATCAACATGTTCGCATGGTTTGTTTAATCGACACAGAACTTCTTCCCTATGGTTTTCCTACTTGAAGAAGCCCTCGTTCCCTTTCTGCTGCTTATGTTGTAAACTCTTGGTATGATGTTGCTTTCATCAGTGCATGAACACAAAGAGATCTGCCTTCCTGTTCCTATGCTGACTGGTTCCTTTTTCAGAAAATTCTCCTTCATTTCTGGGAAGGTCATACAGCCCTTAGTATCTGCGGTCCCAGCCGCCACAGCATTGTTTGATGCTGGCCAGAGGCAACAGAAAAGGTCTGTAGAGGGAAATGGTTGTAGTGGCAAAAAATCACCCACTAAGTAATCAATCAAATATTTCCTGGTAAATCTGATCAGTGGCTCTGTGATTAGTCCCAAGTGACCTAAAAACACTATAAAGTTGATCTGGTCTGAGGTAGCTCAAAAGATGACTTTGGCCACAGTCGCCACACGACAGTGTTGCAAGACAATCAAAGCATTTAAACAAACCTCAGCAATGTTAGCAATACATGCCCTGGAAAAAATACAAACTTCTACACAGACCATTTTGCATGATCGAATGCTATAAAAATTGTAAGTACCAGAGTAGAGATTAGCAATTCCTGTATGGTAAATGTATGTGCTTAATGACTTCTGTTGAAAGTGCTAAAATTGCTACAAGTTTTGTTCCATTTTATTGCCTTGTCATAAGGGCCTTCTTCCATTTCTGTGAAAACCCTGTAACCATTTTAACAAGGAGAACTTCGTCTATAGTTGCAATGTAGAAAACGCTACATCTTTCAGGCACTTAAAAGTTTAAAAAGGAACTTTATTTTAACCACAGAACAGTGAGACGGAAGTTTAAGTAGTAATACAAATGCAGTTTTAAGAACTTATTTCCAAGTAGCTTGCTTTCACAATCTGTGCTAAATTATAAACCTTGAAAGTGGGACAAGATCTTGGAGAGGATCTAGGCTGGCCACACCTCTTCGTTTTACAGATGAGGAAAGTGAGGCAGACAAAGATGAAGCGAGTCTCCCAGGCCACCCACACAGGGAGTGAGAGTGGCAAAACCAGACCTAGAATTCATTGCTTCTAGCTCCCAGCCTGGCACTTCCCCGCCACACCTTACCACCTGCTTTCTTGGTAATTGCATCTTTGCTGGCCTTTGTTCTCTCAGAAGTCTCTCGAGTTCCAAAAATCCAACATGTCCTGAAGTCTCTCTTGAAGATATCAACATATCCTGCATGGTTTGTTTAATCATCGCAAAACTTCTTCCCAGTGATTTTTCTACTTGAAGAAGCCCTTGTTCCCTTTCTGCCACTTACGTTGTAAACCCTTGGTATGATATTGCTTTCATCTCATAAGTATTAACTGAGTACCTAATGTGTGTCAGGGTAGGCATTAAGAAAACAAAGGTGAACACGACATGGCCCCTGCCTCCAAGGAGTTGTCAGTTAGTGCCCTGATGAATGTTGTAAGTGTTTTGATGAGTACACAAGTCACTATGGGATCCCCAGCAGTGACAGACTCCCTCATACTAGAAACCTCAGTGACACCTTCTCAGAGACAGTGACAACTGAGTAAGTCACACTAAAGTTGAATCCTACAGGATAAGTAGAAGTTAGCCTTGCAAAAATGCAGGACAGGGAGAACCGACTCAATTCAGAGACTGCAAGTGGCCCCAGTGAATAGAGACACATGTACTGGGCTGGGGGTAGGGGCTGTGCTCACTTCTCTAGACTTATAGCTTGTCACTGGTCTTTGTATCAAGATTTCTTAAGATTTTTATGTGTCTGAGCCAATGGCCCTCAAATTTTTTGTCTTTGGACCATTTGGGTGAAAAAAAAAAGTCCTGTGGTTAGGTTTGCTATATATCCCACTTTGCCTGGGACAATCCTGGTTTATGTTTGTTGTCTTGACATTAATAACAGTGCCCCATTTACTCTCAAACATATCCTGATTTGAACAATATATGTTCATTTTACTTATAGACCATCAACCACATTCTTCAACCACACATTACGGGTGTGCATATTTAAATGGAGGTATGAACATAGTTTTTTCATCCCTTAAAAACTAACTTTTGGCTGGGCACAGTGGTTCACGCCTGTAATCCCAGCACTTTGGGAGGCCAAGGTGGGTGGATCACTTGAGGTCAGGAGTTCGAGACCAGCCTGGCCAACATGGTGAAACTCTGTGTCTACTAAAAATACAGAAATTAGCCGAGAGTGGCGTGGCAGCATGTACCTGTCATCCCAACTACTTGGGAGGCTGAGGCAGAAAAATCACTTGAACATGGGAGGCTGAGGTTGCAGTGAGCCAAGATCGTGCCACTGCACTCCAGCGTGGGTGACAAAGAAAGACTCCATCTCCAAAAAAAGAAAAAAAAAAAAAAAAAAAAACTACCTTTTTGCTGTGTGAGAGTATTGTAGATATCACTTAGCCCAGCCTGCCTCATTTTAGAGATGAAGAGACATGGTGAAAAGCATCTCTCGAGTATTTGGTATAACTGGTCCTTAGGGAATGCCATGAGAAACCTTGCCTATTATAATATCAGTGATGGAATGCCAAAAAAACACAACCTCCGTTGTCCACATTCTAAGTCTTTGAGGAGCAGAGGATGTGCAGGATTAAGAAAACAGGATATTTTGTAGTGTCTGCAATGTGAAAGAATATGAGGACTAAACGAAGTGATTAAGTGAATCAATGTATATGAAAAGTGCTTTGTGGGCAAGAAAGTACAACACAGCTATTAGTAATGAGATTAATTGCTTTAATTTCCCATGGCAGGGGGGCGTCTGCTTTGCTCTGAAGCATCATAGCTGCTCCTGTCTCTTTAGAAGCCTGACCTTGACCACTGACCCAGCCCACTGTTGCCAAGCAGTAAACTTACAGCCAGACTCAGCCACACCAGAATGCCCCAAATCGCTGAGACTGCATAGCCCCAAAGTCAATCCACAACCTAGAGGGATTGAAGTGGCACAATTCAAGGCGTTAGGAAGCAAAGATATAAACCTGCTGACTCATTTCCTTTGGAGACTCCTTTCCTCAGACAGGCTTCATCCCCACCCATGAAGGAACTCATCAAACACTTATACTCACTGGGTCCTGAAGTCTCTCTTGAAGATATCAACATATCCTGCATGGTTTGTTTAATCGACACAGAACTTCTTCCCTATGGTTTTCCTACTTGAAGAAGCCCTCGTTCCCTTTCTGCTGCTTATGTTGTAAACTCT